ACTATTGTGTTCTGTAGTCAAAATACAATGTATGTTATTTTTAATACTGGCATGGTTATCTTCTCTTCAAAAGAATTCTTAATCCTGTATTTTAACAAATTTCTATTCAAATAATAATAATTTAAAAGTTACTTCTATACCGGTCATGTATGCAAATTTATTTAAACTGTAATTATTCAGATTAGACCTATATATAGAATACTGATCGACAGTGGAGGTCCCGGTTTGTGAGAAGAAGAGCATGGGCACATACTCTTGAAAGCATCTGCTTCGTTTCCAGTGTTAAATTGGAAATTCTGAGGCCACCACACGGTTTTCACAATAGCAAATTTAACCGTTGTAGGGTATGCTCTGACTTCCATTGACTCCCTGAATACGTGATTAGATGATATTGAAAACCTGCCATGCAGAAGTTCTAAGCAGCTGAGAGTACAATGCGATAGGCCTGACTTATCCTAGATACCAAAGTAGGACAAACATTGAAAAACTTAGCTATTCCAATGAACCGTAGTATTCCACTCAAAAAATTAAGGTTTATATAGAAGATTCTGACTATAATGCTAAAATAAAACAGAGAAACTGTACTGCTATATTTTTTTTTAATTTGTTTTAGCCAGGTTATGCACTGCATGTACAGTACCTTGCTTGCCTTGGCAGTCCACCACTGGCATTAAATGACCTTGATACCACCAATCCATAAGAATAGTGTTGAATATTTTGTCGTATCAACAACACATCAGCAACTGAGACAGAAGTTTAAGCAAGCAAGACCTTATATACTGTGCCCCAATACTTTTACAGCACAAGTTAGCTTATTAGCACAGTAAATTTAGAGCTAAGACCTTCTCTGCCTAACTCCTGTCTCAGTTGCTGATGTGTTGTTGATACAATGAAATATTCAACACTATTCTTGTGGATTGGTATCACTTGTTAGGTCATTTAATATGGATTCTCTTTTATCACCATGGTGATCATTATCATCATATTGTAATGAATTTATAAATGAACTTATTGAAATAAATATAATTGTTTAATTTACATATTATTATTAGAAAATATTGTTTGAAGGTTTGCATGGCGAGGTAATACACCACATAGGCAAAAAACTGAACCAAACAGCAACAGTTCTTTTCAGAACTATCTACATGGTGTACAGCAAGCATTAATATATTATTATTATTATAGATGTTGATTGTTATTTTTATTATTACATGTTCTAATGAACATTTTTAAATATTATTTCTAATCTTCTTTTTTATTTTATCATCAATTCTCATAAGAGTTATCATTATTTAATATTGGTATAATAATTTTCACCATACTGTAAATAAATACTGGTTTTTGTAGTGTCAGTTTTTTTAGGATAGTTGCTTTTTCATATTCATATTTTAGTTCTAAAGTATAGTTATCAATGTGGTGGTAGTTGTTTATTTTGTTTGGTTATTCGTGTGTGCAAGAAAGGTAAATGTAAGGTAAAGGTAGGAGAATAACCCATAACTTGCAGTGCCATTGTGCTGAATTGCGTATGGGGGTGGTCTGTGACTACCTAGCAGCCGTAAAGAGGTGCTTCTTAGTAGATACATGTTCACATCATTCCACAATGACAGGGGCTCAAATGAACCATAACATCGGGGTAACCCCCTACTCTTCCAAAAGATGCAATGGGTTCTTTAAAGTGCACATGAGCCAGCACACAGGACCTCCATTTTAACCCTCTGGATACCGGATTCTTTTGTAGTGCAAACCCTTGAATACCGGATTCTTTTGCAGTGTAACAAGGTTTTTTGTGTTTTTTTAGTATACGTCGTTCTGATGGATTTTTGGGAACTTTCTGTAAATTATACAGAAAAATGTTTCTAAAAACAAAGAAAGCTTATAGAATAAGCTTTCATTTGATGTATAATTTATATTTTTGGGAATTTCTTTTCATAATATAATATAATATAATATATATATATATAATATAATAGAAATGACAGAAAAATGCTACATATAAATCGTCAGCAAAAACCGAAAAAAAAAATAAATTATAGCCAAAAAAAACAAAAAAAAAACAAATATGAAACATTCCTATTCCACACAGTTATATAATTTATTTACCCAACCATCCGTAACTATAAGCGCGATCTTTCCATTCAAAAGCGTCGACTACCCTCACATTTCTAGGCCTAAGCTCATCTTCATCAAGAACCTCTCCGCCGTCAGAGCTGCTTGAAGCCCCACTGTCATCATTGCTAACAGGCACGTCTAAGTCTCGCACATCTAAAAATTCACCTTCATCGCTGTCTGAATAAAAAATCAGGTCAATCGCTTGCTCAGCTGTGTACACATCTTCTGCGGCCATTTCAAAAAATTTTTGAAATTAATAACGATTTCAAATTGATATTTCTAAAAATTTTTATATAAGCTCATGTGAGTTCTTCACAGATTTCGAAAGACAAAAGCAACATGCATGCGTGTTCAAAATTTCTGACGTATTGGAGCTAAAATAAAAACAGGAGCGATTTGAAAACCACCTATTTTTTAGTCACGAAATTTCGATTGCTGTCAAAAATGGGAATTCTCGGTTTGAGGTCAATTTCGACTACAGTCGAAGACGGTATCTAGAGGGTTAAGTCATTATCCGAGAAGACTTTGTTCTACCAACCGAACCATGGGCGAGGAGCGGCTGGAACCAGCACCGACGTTAAGGTTGTAGCTAGCGGTGCCCCTGCCTTACCGCTCGGCCACTCGACTCTTTCAATACAGCCTCCTTGAAGAAGACCACTTGATGTACTATAGTAAATACAAAGATTTATTATGATTTATGATCATTTTTTTATTTTATTTCAAATTGTGTGAAGAAAACTTGTCTAAAAATAGATTTTGCTTGCGTGTGACTGTTGCGTTTATTTGGTAATTTTGTTAATGTTTTTGTTGTGAATCAGACCCTTCACTTAATTATCGTGTAGTATCAACGATCTAGTATTGACTAATTATAACGGCGTCGAAGAATAGGCTACAGTACGTAATAAGTACACTGTAGTAATATGTCTATTTTCCCCTCAGACACTACTTTTACCTAAAATAGCAAGAAATTAATTGCTTTGCTCAGAGTTGTTATTCCATGGCCTTGCTCCCACTCTTTATGTTGCAATCCATAGTACAGTAATTTGAAATATTATAGTAGATTATGTTGACCTGAAATATACAGTAGTACACATTAGTTGCATAATATTACATTTTGCCAAGTCATAAAAAAATAATGAATTTTCAAGTGTATAACTTGTGATAAAATATTAAAATAATGAATCTTGAAGTAAATTAAATACTGTTGAACTTATGACAATATATTGATTCTGAATCTCATTTGAGAATGATGCAATATGTGTTATGCTTTTGCAAAAAGTTGTCTAAAAAAGTATTATAGCAATGCATGTGGACAGTATTATTGTAATGCTTTATACAGGTATTTATAGCATTCGATATATTGTATTTTGATTCTGAATCTCATTTGATAAGAATGAATGCAATATGTTTTTGTAGAAAGTTGTCAAAAAATTATTATAGCTTGTCCATGGCTAGTGTTATTGTAGTATATTTATAGCAATATTTAAAAATACACTACATATTACTTTTTAATTACTTGCTTGTTATTTTGAAATTTTAAGAGTGTAGTGTAGTATTTCAGCAGCCTCTGTACAGTAGCTCAGTTGGTAGTAGAAATTAAACAGTAATCCTGATAGAAACCCATCATTTTTCCCTTTAAAGAAATATTTATCCACAGTCAAGTATACCAGATCAAGGTCAAAAAATATAACTTTTTGGTGGAGGGTGAAAAAAATATAGAAATTATCCTGCCAGAGTACATTATTTCAGGGGAGAAAATAAAGAAGAATATTTCATTGCAATTAAAAAAATAGCATACATGAGGTCAATAGATTAATAGGGGATGACCATGGGCTTCAATACATTATAATTTCTGGAAATATTAAAATTTAAAAACATTAAAAGAATGTAGGCTTATGCAAACAAATATAGAAACTTTTCAATATTAATGTCAGTGTTAAGTGGTGGGGAAACGTATTTTTCATTCTAGTTTTCAAGTGAAAACTAATAATTTAAAATCTACTCTAAGCTAATCAATTATTGATTTTATTTCAAGCCAATTTTATGCTCCAATTCAGATTAATATCAAATTTTCTTTGTCAAAAGGCTATTGTATGCCCATTTATGGTAATGATATGCCTATATATAGTCATGATGTGATGTCATCATGACCATATTTAGGTGTGTCACATGTTTTTGTCAAATAAAATTTGATAGTCAGAATAGGGCTTTACTGTAGGTGTATGAAAATTAGGAATGGTACACCTCACTCTCCTCCCCCCAACCACACACACACACCCACACACACACACACACGCCCACTCACAGACACAAGATGTGTGATGCAAGTTTGCCTGCAAAAATAACAAAATTTTTGAAATATGACGGTATTTGGCATCACTTTAAGTATTGCATTTAGTAATCTAATCTTGAATGTAATCTTATCAGATGAGAAGCTAATATTACTGTATTTACAAATAATAAATTGTTTATTTAAATTCCGAATTAGAAAAAAACACAATTTAAAAAGATAATCAGCATCTAAAACTAAATTACCATTATATTTAACTTAGATAATAAGCCACAAGTATTAAACACGGTTTAGAGAAATACAAAAATTGAAGTGTGGGGGAAATAGATCAATGGCTTGTTTAAATGTATTTGCAAACATTGTAATGAAGCTCTAAACCTTTGCAAAGCCACTTGAAATTACATGTCTCTCCAAATTATTGAATAAAATATTAAATCTTAAGATAGACTTACAGTCTGTCACTGTATGCAGAATTGATATAGTATTTTTATATTTGATACTGAAAATCTTCACAGATTATCATTATATCTTGGTTCTTGTTTTTCAAGTACTGTACTTGACTGTTTTACTGTATCTTGATTTAATTTTGTTTTCCTTTCAGGGAAGGTCATGGGGCCCACAAGTATTTGCCAAATCATTTGGTGGGATTCAAAAAGAATGGGAGCAATTTGGTACGCCATCTTACCCCTCCCCGCTGGACCGAATCAGGAATGGCAAGAAGTAAGTTATCAATTCTATTGATTGTGTAACCATCCTCTTGATTTACAATGTTTTTATATTTTGATATTAATTCATTTGTTATAGAAAGGAATTAGACCCAATCTTGCACATTGCTATGAATGCGCCTTACTTATTTATAAACACTAATTGGGAATATATGATTTGATTGGAGTTTTTATAGATCTGAATATCTTTTTATAGCATGGTTTATTGATGGTTACTGTATGTACTAGATTGCTTTTGATGTATAAACACTGATTACTTGCATGATTTACTGCATCTGTAGACTTGTCATCAAAAATCAAAATGAATGAGTTATGTATGTGATTCTACAATAAACCAGAAGAATGGAAGACTCCAAGAAATACATCATTATTTACACAACAATCAATCAATCAATCAATCAATCAATCAACAACCAGGCTAATAGAGCAATCATGAACCATTGATTGGTGATAGATTAAACTTTTTTTTTATGCCTGTAGGATTTTACCACAGCAGAGATATAATAATATATATTTTAAGATTGTCTTTCTGTTTTTCATTAGGGATCGGGCAGCAGAACTAGGTGTGGATACTCAACTGAGCAGCTCATTGGAGCTGAACCAAACGTTTCCAGTGACTGAAAAGTCACAGGTACGCAGAGATGAACCTAGGAAACAAGATGTTAACATAACATTGGAGAATTTTAAAGGTAAATTATCTTCAATGTTAACTAAATTATCAGTGTCCAATAGTCCAGTCAATCTATGACAAAATCATAGTGAACCTAGAAAAGAAATAATTTCTACGGAATTTGTTAATAGCATATACACAAAACATACTAAAAGTCCGAAAAAATCCAATCAGTGGAACATTATTAATTTTAAAGATATTTAATGAGTTAACATTCAACGGTTTATTGTGTCATACTGCCTAACTGCTGCGTTGAAGCGTATAAAAGCCTGTTGTTGCTAAAACAAAGAAATGGTAAAAGCATATATGGACGAAAGCAGTTGGAACAAACCAGATGCATTGGTAACACAATGATCAACGCACACGTCTGCTGTCCCGATCGATCCCGCATTAATTAATTTTTTTGTCAAGTTTGTTTAGTGGCTAATTATTATATAATTGGGATTTTTCTACCCAGTAGCCCATTATTTTATCATAATTATATGTCCTGCAATTTGCATACTTTTTTGTTAATTTGTAAAATTATTGCGAAGATATTCAATAAATGAAATTTAACATTGCTGCATTTTGTCTGGGTACAGTATACTCATCTGTGAAAGCTCACCCCTAACATTTAATATTGCAAAAATAACATGCAAAATGCTCCGCCTATTTATAAGCCCACCCCTGAGGATTTAAATAGGTTTTTTACACTATTTTTCTATGAAATATTAATAATGATGTTATATTCATATAGCACATATTGTATATGCACCTATGCACTTTAAGCAAGTAAGATAAAGTAAAAATTATAATAATTTAACAATAAATTTTATGAAAGAGAAATGATCTACTGTACTGTATTTGAAATAAGTTGCATTAAAATTTACCATAAAGATGTTATGTAGGCCTAGCCGTGGACTACCAAGGCCTTCTTATATCCAGGAGTCACATAAAATGTTGTGTTGAAAGGGGCTTATACCGTAATAGAATTATTAACGACATAGAACCATATAATATTGTAAACCAAACTCTCTCAAGGAATTAATCTCTTTTTCTTCTCGCCACCTCAGCTGATGGTCTACACAGCTTCAGTTACACACCTGGCTATTCAAAAGGGTCATTTGCACCCTCTCCTGCCCCAGACTTGAGCCAGTCAATGGGTCAGTCATGGTCATTCTACAACTTTATTGGCGGTGGTCAATGTGGAATGAGTTTTCCAACAACAGTGTACAACCCAAACAAAGCTGTTTTAACCATAGACGCAAAGTCATCTAAGGTTTGTATGGTCACTCCGATTACTAGAAATATAAACAGCGTTAGAAAATGGTGATGAATTTTTTAAACTAATAATTAGGAAAAATATTAAGTGAGACTTGTTTTGTAAACCCTTTACCTGCCAAAAATGATGGATTAGAATTTTTTTTTTTCATGTGCACATCCACAATCATAAATTTCATAAAAAAAGAATGTTTTTCTTTATTTTGTTTACCACTATAATAAAATCTCCTTTATGGTAATTGGGAAGATATGACTTTAGTTTTATTTTAAACTTAAAATTTGTTAAATATAAAATGGCGTGCCTTAGTAACAAGCTAATTGTACATGAACATTAACTACTATATGGTTTTACTTTCGAATACACAATAGATCCTCATTGCCAATAGTATGTCATCGGAACTGTTCGGCTTCAGTACGGAGGAGCTTGTAGGTATCAAACTATCCGACCTTCTGAGCGCACCAAATAATAAAAGGCAGAGTGCCCTAGTAGAAGAACACATAGAGACGTCTGGGAAGGTTGTGATGGTATCGGGAAAAGTGGTAAGTTGATAGATATTGTGTCAATTCTTGTATATTTTTTGCTTTTAATTCAATATAGTTAAACAGGGGCAGATCCAGAAGGGGAACCAAAATAGGGTTGTTCAAGACAACACTACCCGAATGAGTCCAGGGGCATGGCCCATGAAATTTTTGTTTTCTAGACACTCGAAAATAACTTTTTCTTTGTTTTTTTTTTCTTTTCCTTTTTTTTTTTTTTACTTTTCAAAAGGGGGCCCAACCCCCTCCCTAAATCCACCCCTGTTAAAGGCCCACACTATCAATACCTTTGATTTGACTCATATATGTGATTTATGATATCACACATACAGTTTGTCAAATCAAAGTGAGGACAGAGTGTAGTATCACAAATTCAAATATTCTCACATAAATGTCTAGCTTTGCAGACTACAAAAAAAAAAAACATATCTGACTTTCAAACAAAGTAATGCATGTCATTTAGACTCAGAGCAGGTATTTTCAAGAGTAAGCTTATTCAAAATAAATTTTGCTTTTGCCAATGGAGTAAAAGGAGTCTCATATTTTTTAGCATGCAGAAACTTGGTGACTTGGTGATTGGTTAGTGTGAGCCCAGACTGATTGCTCATTAACGTGATGATTTCGATAATAAGGACTCAAAATTATGTTTATTTTTGTTTTTGTTGTACTGTATTACAACACAATGATTTTTTTTCTTTTTCACCTATTGTAATATTAATAATGGTAGTGATGATAGTAGAGGAGGTTGGCGTGTAAAGTTCTGCTAGGTATTCCATTTGGTCAAACTAAAAGATTCAAGTCCTCAACTATACCATATTTGACTAGACTAGAATGAGTCATTTAATCAATAATAGTATGTTTAAATGTTGAATTTATGACAGATGGTAGGAACTCTTGCCTAGATGTATGGCTTTTTTTATTTTAACATAATTAATAATTTCTATGTTTTTGATGTACAATGTCACTTTTCAGCCTCACAGCTGCCGTTGGTATTTTATTGAATAAAGAATATCTTTATATATAGTACTAAGATGTACTACAGGGGGATTAACATTGGATTCACTATTGTTTTTTTGTATGTAAACAATATTATTTACTCGTGTACGTATATACAAGAAGATTTTTACATATCAAATAATGAGCTGTTAAGTCAACTGTCAATGGCTCGTAGCAAATAAGCTCACATGACAGGAAACCAGTTCATGTCAAGACAAAATGTAAACGATTGAAGTACAGCCACAGTAACCATTATTGATGAATATATTTTGCTGACGATACACATTTATTAGGCATATAAAATACCAGATGCTTCTTGAATTTCAATCAATGAGCTTTTTTAATTGACTAACAGTACATTATAAGTTCATAATAAATAGAAGAAAAACAGATTTTTCAGATATATATTTTTAGAAGCTAACATACGGAAATTGAAACTAAATTTAATACTGTATATTGTAATTGGTGAATGTGATTTGAGCTCTACTACCCTTATTTATTTGTTGATCTATTTTACTGAATGTATTTTTTTCTCCATTAATCACCATAAACAGTTAAAGCCTGTATCTGCTTTAAAGATTTTATGCTCTAAGGGCATATTTTTAAGGGCGTATTTTGATGTTTTTTTCCATTAAGGTCTGGGAGTGAGAGTTCATAGGTTTTTATGCCACAGTGTTGATATCAGTGGTGAATTCAAGTCGACCTCTCCCCCTAAATTTTTCAAAATAAAAAAATAGAGGTAAAAGTAAAATATATTCAGATTTTAAGCCTGAGAGACCAGTTTCCAGTCATTTATTTAGGTGCCATAGTCAAAAATTTCTAGCCCCAACCATGGTAGATTTGAGTTGTTGTATTCCCCCCTCTGCATCTGTGTCCTTCTCTATCCCCCTCTTTTTCAAATTCCTGGATCTGCCACTGGATATTGACTGTGATGACAACAATGACAATGATTGGATTTGATAAAATGCAAACATTTAAGACATGTTAAAGCCTAGTATGCTGTCATAAAATATTTAAAACTCTAAAAAAAATTGAAAAGCTCATTTTAAAGGATCAGAATAAACTCAATTGAGGGGAAAAAATGCTTTCACCGGTTTATAGATCTTTTACTAAAAAATCTTAAAATTTATACAGTTGCCAATTTAAGAGTCATGCAAAAAAATACAGTACAGGAAAGGACTGTATATGTAAGCATTTATTAGTCGGTGAGGAAATTTATTTCTCATTCTAATAATTAATTGAAAAAGCTTAGTAAACATGAATACAAAGTAAGGAATTACATTTTTTTTTTTCAAATCATTTAGCTCACAGATGACAAGTTGAACCAATTAGAAGCAAGCAATACACGTTGATCTTGTTATTTGTAGACAATTATCATTTATGCTGTGCTTTTTATGTGGAGTTTTGTCAAAATATGGATGCCATCGGCATATCCAATTAAGGCTTGGATTAAGTAAATAATAATGATGGATCTGTTTGCCTCTTGCATCGATGTGTGTTATTGCCTTGCTGTCATTACAGTATTGCTAGTAGATTTATAGAAACAACTTCTTTCCTAATTGATTATAAAATTTTGAAACCAATATAAAACAAAAGAAATGTAAATTTAGTTATTAAAGAGTTATACTGTAGTTACTTTAACTGTCTTAAGTAGCATGTAGGGAGAGGCTCTTCATTTTGCTAATATTTTTCAAGTTTTTGTTGTTGTCAAAGCAATTGTATGTATGGCCTGTGTCATATATAATTTATGGGCGAGTACAATAGACAAGAGGTCAGTTTGGGCACCACTAACTACAGCATTAATTTTGGCACTGGTTCAAGCTGCTCTAAGCCCCATGGTTCAGTTGGTAGAACCAAGTCTTCTCGGATAAGGCTTGTTTTACACTTCAAAGAATTTATTACATCTTTCTGAAGAGTGGGAGGAATTTTTGCATAGCAGAATTAAGTTTTCCAGTTTAAACTAGATAATTATTCAAATGTGACTGATAGTTAAAAAGCAGCTTCAAGACCCGTTGACTGTCATTACCAGTCAAGCGTGAAATAACTCACTGAGTAACATAATCTTTTAATTTTTTTTTTATTCAAGTTTTTTTTAACCATGATTTTGCACAAATTTACTGAAATACATAGATCAAACAGTATATTTGAGGCCCAAGTTCTCCCATAATTATAATATGCCTCCTATGTTTCAAAAAGAATTAAGCATACATTTGTATCCCTGAATCTGAAATCATGGACTTGGTGGATCAGATGGGTATTTTAATAATCATATCAAATGCACAATAGTCTAAATTCCATAAAATTTATTATTTTGGACTTAAAGCATTCTACAGCTTCCAAATTCTTTAGAAAATATGATTTTCTATGTTTAAATTAAAATTATGAAGGTTTTTTTTTTAATGCTACTGAACTTTATTTGTTGGTTGCTTACATGATGAGCAAGGCCTGTGAGAAGGCTATGTTTTAACTACAAACTGTTATATTTTAAATAATCCAATTTTTTCTGTAACTGCATAATATAGCAAATGTAGGTTTACATCCTCACCAAAATAGTTGTAAACAAACTATATGTTGCTAAAAGTGTTTGAGGAAGAAATAAGTATTAATTAGGTATGTGTGTCTTCTTTTATAGAGTTCAGAGAGACTGATGAGATTAGTTTAGGAAACTAATGGAAAGGAATAAGGCACAGATGGAATGATGGATAAGGTAGAGAGCTGGAAGATTTGAAATGGGGAAAAGGGAATGACTGATATGATTGGGGAAAGAAAATAGTAGAGAGGAATAAAGGCGGGAGACTGATTGACCTAGAATAGGACGGACATATGGGTATAGTAGGCATTAGGGTTAGAAAAAAACATGTTTTCTGTTCAAGAGGCAATGAATCTGGTTCCTATGTAATTTTGCTAATGACAGTGGTGTTTCTAATGGAGTTAGTACAGCTGCTATTCACTAACCATTAACAAGTCATAACGAGTTGTAATACTCCTAATGGTCAGTTAATATATCAATTACTGGCCACAGACAAATATTGACAGGTACTGCTGTTGCCATACTGTTAAAGTTTAACTATGTATATCTTACAGGTACAGAATTCTGAGTTTGGTATTAACTTCTATTAATAATTTGATATAATCACTCTGATATTAACTGCATCCAATATTTTGATCATTTTTGGGATTTGTATTTATAAGTGTTTTGTAAAAAATTGCCAAAATTCAGTCCACCACTGCTAATTCGATTTTTGAATGAAGATGAAATTTTAAAAAAGTACAATAAATATACACAAATGAGTCATGTGCATTTACAGTATATATAATAGTACATACGCATTTTCAACTCTGCTTTGAATGAGGGTACTTTTCCTCACAATTAGTGAAGTAGTTAAAGAAAATGAGATGCAATCAATGCGAGTATTTTAGAAACTTGATTTTTATTGGTGCCTGGAAAATGGGGTCATTCCAAAACTCTCTAAGTGAAGTGTTATGAGATTTTCTTTCCTTAAAGTCGGAATGTCCTCCTCCTATTTGCTCTCTAAACAGACATGGTCTGAGGTGTATTAATCATATTAAACTGTTAGGGGTCACCTTACAAGATAGTCTTTCTTGGGAATTACATATTGTATACATTATAATGTAACTAAAGCTTGCCACTGCCTTTACACATTCAGCAACAGCCCCTCCTAGAGATATGTTACAAGTGAACATTTGCTACATACGGCCCATTGTAGAATATGCTTGTCCTGTGTGGCACAGTCTATTTACGAGCAATCGATCTATGTCAATAGAGAGAGAGTTCAAAAGAGAGCTCTTCGCATCATTTATGGTATTAACTACAGTACATACAGTAACATACTGTATGAAACCACTCTTAGTATATCAGGTCTGCCCTCTCTTGCAAGCAAGAGAGAGACACTTCAACTCGAGTTCGGCAAAAGAATCCTTAAATTGGACACATTTAGGAGCATACTTTCTCTTGCCTGTGAGGTGGGCAGAAACCCGAGGTCGACATGTAAACCTCTACTAGGTATTCCATTTGATCGAACTAAAAGATTCAAATCCTCACCTATACCATATTTGATTAGACTTTTGAATAAGTCATTTAATCAATAATTTTTTTTTTATTTTAACATTTTTAATTAATAATTGCTATGTTTTTGATGTGCAATGGCACTTTTCAACCTCACGGCTGCCGTTGGTATTTTATTTAATAAAGTATACCTTTATGTATACACCGTTTGGCAATCTGGCTAAGAAAGGTATTTAAAATGGATATTTAGCTTGGTGCTGCTTGCTTATAAAGCAAATGGACATAGGTACAGTTTTACGTACATCAGAATTTATCACAATTGGAAAAAAGATATAAAATATGCTCATAAATTTTGTTTGATTGTATATTTCCTTTTTTTCCCAAGATGGATGCCATAGATTGCAATGGTCTTGTGTTACCAGTCTCTGTATGGATTAAGAAGATCACTGATGATGAAGAGCCTAGATGCTTGGTTGTACTGGAACCAGTAGACAGAGCATCTGCATTGGTGTCATTTGATGCTTCTGTAAGTATCCATCATTTCATTTTTTTTTCTATCTGAAAACAGGCCCGATGTTGCCATCAAATGATTAAATGTGTCTGAGTCACAGAAAAAGAACAAAGCTTGAGACTAGCAAAAATAAAATAATAATAATGATAATAATAAATAATAACAATTTAAAAAAACATAATAATAATAATAAATAAATTTTTAAAAATAAATGAGATAATAAATTATAGTTTTTCAAAATAGAAAATACAATAAAAAAAATTAAATTAAAAAAATCAAATTTGAAAATAAATAAAGTTAAGTAAATGATATAAAATAATATGATTAGTATTGTAAAATGAAACCCAAGTGCATGTTCTTTATCTGTGTTTGTCTCCATTGAGAAAAGTATATGATAATAGGATGTGAATATTCTATGTTTATTGTATTTGTCGTACTGTAGAGTATCCTGAAAATTTATGCAAGTCGACAGGGAGTACCTCCTCAGGGGGTGGAGGAGGTCGTACAATTGCTACTATTTCGAAGAACCAAGGAAAATAACTTGAAGCTTTTTCCAAACAGTTAAGATGTGGAAAGCGCTAAAGGCCAAACATTGTTATTAATGTCATTGGATACAGAATGAATCATACGATAATCTACATCCTTCTTCCCTCTCTGGGGAGCATTTCTTATGCATGTAATAAAGAAGTGACCAATTCATTGCTATTTATATTAATTTAAATGCATACTGGAAGCTACATGAACTTTATATAGATGGTCATCGGATACCTAATCAATTTGCCTCTTCATTCCCTAGAATTATTCCTGATCATATTCAGAATAACAGATTTCAATAGGCTCATTTTCAAGTACTCAAATTCACAGTGGAATGATTTTTTGCACTGTCTTTCTTCAGCAGTTAATAATTTTTACCTTTGTCTTTTTATAGGGCTGTATTCTGTCGGCTGATGGTCAGCTAGCCTACCTTCATGGTTATGCCTCTGATTCTGAGCTAATTGGAATGAACATTAAGCAGCTTGTTCCCTCCTTTGTTTTACCTGATACTGGTGATAAATTGCCTCAGGTGTGTACATTATCAGAAACTAAGTGAATTAAATTTCATCATTAGCTGCTCCTCTTTGTCAAAAATAATTTTAATCATGTGCATGTCACTGTTTCTATTCCTTGCTTCATCTCATTTCTATTATCCATTATGCAAAAATATGTTTTAAAATATTATGCTTATGAAACATTATATCTAAATGACTGTTGGCAAATGATAAAAAATTCAATTCTCATTTTTATGATATAAAGTATCATGAAATATGATAATGCGAATAACACTCATATATATTATGAACAAAAATCCCAGCATATATGTATAATATATATTTAATTATAGAAACTGGTATTTCTAATTCTGATGTTAATATATATAGGAGGTGAAAAAACAGCGTTTGACTGGAAGGACTAAAGACGGTTCAACATTCCCACTGAGTGCTCTTGTTAAGCCTATTCCCACATCGCTACCCCTGCCTGATGTGGTAGAAGCAGCCAAAGCACAGGCTTCACTTAAAAACAGCCAGGAATTCTCATCAACTTCAGGTAAGTGTGATATTAATATATACCTGTACAGGTCTTCCTCAACAGCTTTGGTCTCTACTTAGAATAATAAGGATGGGAAACTCTTTAATAGAACATGAACCCAGTCAGATCATTCCTGGTAAATTTAAGCTCAATTGGATAATTTTGAAAATTTGATCATCAAACTTTACAATCACTACGTATCTATCAACACACAAACTGAAAACAGAAAAATGGTCTTTAATTGGAGGTGGTCTTAATTGGAGGGGTCTTTAATTAGAGGGAGACCTGTATTATATTTAACAGTGTTGGTTTGGTTATCCATTTTCTAATTGGCATTTTCACTCATGTGGTGCCAACTGTCAATTTTATTTTCTGTTATGTTGACTCTGATTTTGCTTTGCAATCAAAAGGAAAGACTTTTATGTGATGTGCTGTCATAGAGGCTGTGAAATCACTGTTACAGTTAAAGTGGCAATCGCTTTCATGAGACAAATATACACATACTGCTCTTATAAAGTCACATTATGATGGTTAGTGAGTGGAGGTATGTCCTGTCAATTGAGAGTGACAGGATTTTAAAAGGATTGGAAAGACCCAGCTGATCCCTGTCTCTTATACACATCTAGATGTGTATAAGAGACAGATTTAGCACATTGTTTACTTGTATATTTTAGAAAACCAGTCATCATCATCATCACAATTGCAGTGTTACCAAGCAACCATCTGGGTATTTGCCAACATCAGTGGCATGTTGAGTTTCCTCCCTGATGGTACCATTCATAGCGTTAACCACAACTTCTCTCTCATGCTCTTTGGCTTGTCGAAGGATAAACTTGTTGGCAAAGTAAGTTGAACCAATCCAATAAGCCAGTAAATAGTTTTAAAATGGTGTTAAATATCAAAGCAATGTAAACATCATCCTACCCAAAAACATGGCCACAGTAGTCTGGGTTTTTTTTCTAGATTGAAAGAGTGTGATTTTTAAACCAGGGACGGTGCTAGCAGAGGGTCCAGGGGTAAAGGACCCCCATCGGGGACTTCTGCACCCCCTGCTTGTACCCCCTGTTGGGGAATTTCCAGCAAGGTCGTTGGGGAAAAATAAAAAAAGGTACAATTCAAGAATGCCTTATTACTAAGCAGTCAAATTTTAGGGATTAGAAACTGTTTAGTGCGAGCAGTGCTATCATATGTACTATCCCGATTGTATGGGTTGCATTGGTGCGGCAGCTCTTCCCTGACGGGGGACTGGAACCTCCGACAACCCCCTTTCTATAAAATTATCCTTTTTAATTAACGAATCCCATAATTAACACAAAAATTGATTATCTTTTCCCTGACAAATTTATTTTTTTTCAGACCAGGGGACTAGGCTTCCCCAACGGGGATGGGCGTGGCACCCTTGTCGGGGAGCTTGACCACTCTTCGGGGATTTCCAGGCGCAGCCCCTGTTTTAAGGTGCCATATTTTTTACACCCCTGAAGATATTGTTGGTGTGCCATGCTGTGGAAGTGCAATCTCTTAACTCACAAGTACTGGATGGATGGATAGATTGATTGATTGATTATTATTGTTATTTTATATCCAATTAATTCGTTCACAGTATGAAACATTCCTTATTAATTACAGTGCTTGCCTTCGTTTACCTTCCCCAGCACATCACCCACTTGATTCCAGAATTCTATGATCATCTGGATATCATTGATGATGGCTCTATGCCACTACCCCCATTTGATGATGATGATGACCCCGGTGGTGGAGGAGTAGTCTTCCAGCCTGCCAGCTCTAGGGGACATAGCAGGCAATCCAGACATGAAGAAGGTAAACTTAATTGTTATTATAAAGATCATAAATACTGTATGTTGATTTTTAGACAATGTTAAATGTTCAAACAAAAAGTTAACATTACAAAAACAAGTAACATGACAAAAGGTTAGACTAGAAATAAAAGATTATGATGTCATAGTTTTAGGTTAATTTTAATCATGGTTACTTGATTTCCAGATGACAGTCCCTTTGGGAAAAATGAATCTGAAATCTCACATGCATTGAAGCAGCTGCAAATCTCTGGTCCACAAGAAAGGTATCGTAACACTTTGTTCTTTAAAGATATGCTGTGGAAGTGTGGGGTGAGGGGAGAGAACATTAAGTTGTTTAATATATTTTATCGCACATTTAAAAAAGGACATTAATTATGAAATTTTATTTTTCATTGTATCTCAATTTTTTTTTGTCAGACCCTCAACGACTGAGTTACTACGAGAGGCTCAGAAACTAAACGTCCTGAGTGGAGATAGACTTTCCTTCAGTCGACCGGATAGTGCGTGCACTAACGAACTACTACGTACACCTCCATCAGTGTCTCCTCTCGGAAGTCCGATGTCTGATAGGAAAATAAGCCAAGGAGCAACTCCCCCTGGCAGCATTACCAGCATGGAAGTGAATATACATAGTATCCCAGGCTCTCTTAGTCCGTGCTCTTCTACGGGGGATCTACACCTAATAGATAAAGATGAAGTATTCAACCTAACTGGAAATGAAAAACGTAACAGTTTAGGACCACGAGAGCGACGACTCTCCTCAAGAAATTCAGATGAGAACAAGCCGTCCACAGGTAACTTAGATGAGACGCCTCGCAAAGGTGAAGGTTCAAGAACATTATCATCAACAGCTGAGCTACTGAATGCACCCTCCACAATAATAGTATCACCCCTTAGTAAAAGTCAACTTGAAATGCATAACAAAATGACACCTATAGATCTAGCTCCTCTGGAAGTAGACACAGGTTTCAGCAATGAGCATACACAAGTACAAACTGCTAGAGAGGTTATACCAGAAGAATGTGCAATAGAAGAAGATGACATCTTAAAAAAGACTGAAGAGGAGCAACCTAAACAAGATGTCATTGCCAACGATAAGGATAAAACTGAGCCTGAGAAGTCCTCCGGGCCGCCGCCTCTTGAGCGAGCTCAGTCACGAGTGAGCTTTGCAGAAGATAACATTAATAACTGTAATGTGAACACGGGTGTAAATGTAACTTCGGTGGATTCAAATTACGCGACGTCAACACCATCACGCAAATGTACGTGGGCCCAATCATCATCCACATCGCCAATACCAGAAGGCAGTTTTATAGGTCAAGGTAGACATAAAGATGGCTCCTATATTGGTAAGTCTGCACATGCTCAGTTTAAGTTTAAATTAAGAAAAGGCTTTTATGCCCTGTTTTTCCCTAGTTTTTAAGTATTCAAAAATATGTATCCTATCAAACATGTACAAAAATTTTTCCTGTGGAGCCTGTCTTTAACAATAATTTCCACATAATGAAGGCATTTTTTAAAAATCCATTTATATACATGCTTATGATTTAAAAAATGGCAATATCTACTGGAAAAGTTTGCCAAAAAATATACTTTCAAAGCAAAGTCTCATTCTCCACAGTTAGTAGAAAGTGTGGGAATGGTGAGGGGATTTTTAAATCTATCAATTCATTTTTCTATAAATTCCAATATTTCTAATAATTATTTTAAATAAAGTTGATATCTCTCTGTCAGACAACTCGTAACTACCTCCTTGTATTTTTTTCATACCTACAGGAATTCTTTTTTCAATCAAACAAATAAAGCTTGATGATGGCAACTCATTGTATTGCATTTGGCTATCACGTGACCCAGCTGATCCTGGCGAGGGAGGGCGCTATATATCCAACTTAACGTTAGCTTCAAGCTTCAGCAGCACTTTCAATGCTTCTCAGAGTCAGAGAAGCTTTGGAGAAGTAAGTTCAACATACGTAAAGGGTTAGATAGTATAATATATAATCCAGGTATCGAAATGCACGCCATCGTGAATGAATCATCGTAAAGAGTTACTGGGGTCTGAAGTTGGAAGGATCCACATCCATGAGATCTGTTTAAATAAGGTTTCTTAACACATCTAAATATATTCTGCTACAGATATTGATACCCATTGGCACTGACATCCGGGAGAAGATCACAAATTTGGAGAAAAAAACCGTGATACCCTGTAATTTAAGTTTTAAGATTCTTAAGCCTATTGCACACTGCTATGTGTAAGAACTTGCCCAATGCAATGCCAGTCCTCTGACAGTCGGTGGAAGTCTGAGTGAGACTTTGTTATTCAACACATTGCCATGTTGCTGTCGTCGTCTGCTGCTGACACCTATGCAGTGTGTTAGCTTTTAGGGCCTGGGATTAGAAGACAAGCTTTTAAACTACCTTCATCTCCACGTTCCATGCAATATTTAGTTTTGATTTTTTTCTCTTTTTAATTGTAATAATATAATAATTTTTAAGTAATGTATGAATGGTTCATATGATATTGGTAAAAAACCTTTCAAACAAGAACCTGTTTTTGTAGAAAGAAAAGAAGACATCTCTCCTGCATTTGATATACCATAAGATTCTTATTTTTGCTTTCACCATGCATTATTGAGTAAACAGAATTTATCAAGTTTTACCTCTGCCTTAGTTTTTTCCATATTAGTATTCGACACACTGTGTACCTTTGATTCTATAGGCTTTGACAGCTGCTGCGAAGGCTAATGAATTGTCGGATATAGATGAGGTGGATAATCCTGGTAAAGGGCGGTATGATGAGAAATATGAAACAACGACATGCATCGGCAAGGGAGCTTTTGGGTTTGTCAAGATGGCTACCAGAAAGGAAGATAGGGAGAAGGTATGGAACAAATACCGCTAAGCAATAACATGTAATTGGGAAGGTGTGCCTTAGTCAGTGGTCCCTATACTTGTGTAATATATTCAACAAGGACTTGACTGCCGATATGTGTGGCTGAACAAAGTGGTTGATTTGAGATAAATATATAATTGCATTTGCCTCATTTAATAATGCATATAGATTACAAAATTATCTAAACGCATTGATTTGTAACTTGGGACAATGTGTGAGACCTTTGAGATCCAAACACTTTCCCCTTGCCAGTCAATGACTCTGAGAATAACTCTCATGAACATGTTCATGGTGGCTATCAGGATTAATTAAATTTTGAATTAAATAAGGAAGCAATTCTGAAGTTGGTCTCACTGTGTCCCTAGGCGAGAAACTTTATTAGCATTTGTGTCTTTCCCCTTAAGATATTAGGTATACATATGTATTATAATAATAATAATATTGTTAATAATAATATTAATGGGAGTTATTCTCCCATTTACATATATATAGAATATTAATATATGCGTGCTTGATGTAGTGCCCTGTAAATATATCTCAGAGTGCTGAATATGTATGCACCTGCTAGAAATAATTTCTGGATGAATTGGATTGGGCAAAATTGTTTAAAAATATTTTTATTATTTATATGCTTCCTCTCTGTAGGTTGTTGTGAAGTTTATACGAAAGCCCAAGATTTTGAAAGAGAATTGGGTAGATGACCCTGATTATGGACGAGTTCCGCTGGAACTGTCTTTACTCATGAAGTTAAATCATAAAAATATTGTATCGGTCAGTATCAGATTTTTAATTATATACATTAAGTTCAACTATCATTGTTAAAATATAGAAAACCTCACAATCAATTAAAACATTGAGTTGCTGCTTTAATATATCAATCAACTTCCAATGGACCAAACATCAGTTTTGTTGGTTTACTACATTATGCTGTGGAGTAGCTTATTTATTCTTCTATAGTTTGTTTTTTTTTATAGTACAAGATTATCATTTTAATGTATATTTTATAACTGTTCCAGGTGGTTTGTGTTAATTATAGTACAACAAACCATAAGATAGGCCACCTTCTATTCAACTATATTTTTTCATGTCCGCCATTTACTAAACTTTTTTTGAAAGGTGCTCTATATGAGGGTTTCATCGCAATTTACCTTTCTACTTTGCTTATAAACAAGGTTGTTTTGTTTTTTTTATAGGTTGTAGAATTCTTTGAGAATGACAATTTCTTCCAAATGATTATGAAGAAGCACGGATCTGGAATGGATCTGTTTGAGTTCATTGATAACCGGCCTAATTTAGATGAGCCTCTGGCCAGCTACATCTTCAGACAAGTAAGACAGCAGTTTATTATTTGCGTTCTCTAACATTTTATTTATTTGTATGTTTATTTTATGTTAAAGTGATTGCCACTTAATGTAAGACAGTGATTAAGCTTGCTATTTGCAATCTTCGGTCCATTTATCTGAATAATGAATAAAAGAATGACAACAATCATTATTTTTATTGTGTGTTTCTAAAGAAAGGAGGATTCGCAGGAAAGAGTATTTTTTTTTAAACTCTTCAATAAGATGAAAATATTTGTAATCTCTGACCATTATACAGAACAAAAATATGATTGTTTACTTGTATGTATTTGTTTTTATTTCATACTCAAAGTCATACGAAAGTCATACCTCTTCAGTAAAATGTTACTATTCTCCTGGATTGCCCAATTTATGTAATTTATACATGTCTAAAATCTTCTTTATTTTACAAGGTTGTGGCTGGTGTATCGTACTTGCATCGACAGAACATAGTTCATCGAGACATTAAAGATGAGAATATCATTTTGAATGAGGATTTCCAAGTGAAGATCATTGATTTTGGCTCAGCTGCTTACCTTCAAAAGAAGCTTTTCTCGACATTTTGTGGCACATTGGAATACTGTTCTCCAGAGGTTTTAATGGGAAACAAGTAAGTTGTGTAATTGGATTTTTCCCCAAGGTATAATTTGCAATTAAAAACTATTATTAGTTAATTAATTAATTATTAACTAATGACTTTTTGTAGTGTTGAACAACCGACTATACTCTTTGATAGAAATTTCCATTAATAAAGTAAATTTTTTTTTTTTTTCTTTTTTTCTGATAGATATCGAGGACCTGAGTTGGAGATGTGGGCCCTAGGAGTCACCCTTTACACTCTGGTGTATGGTGAAAACCCGTTTTATGATGTGGAGGAGACGATACAGGCTATCTTGAATCCCCCATATGAGGTGTCAAGAGGTGTGTATAGTACAGGTTTTACTTTTATATTGTGCTAAGCATAATTACATCACACACTTAGTACATTAGTAGGAAAAGATGTCATGTTACCTACATTCCCAGCAAGCTTTGTCTTTAATATTCTACCGCAAAATTAATAATAATGGAATCTTTTTATTAAATAGATGTACACCATATAAATATATACGACTTTTCTGTAATAGCTTTGTTTAGGCTGCAATGTTTTTTGAAATATGATGTGATGACAATTAATTTTTTTTCGCTTTTCAAATTTGTTTAGAGTTGTCTAACTTAATTGAGATGCTGCTGCACCCTGAACCTAAATGGCGAATTATGCTAGACCAGCTTGAGAAGAATGAGTGGGTTTGCCTGCCAATTGATATAAGTCAGTACAAATGGGAAGATGTTTTACCAGAAGATAGTAAGTACCTTCGATGCCAGCAGAATAATAGAGTGCTATGAAGATGATGAGGATTCAATGTTGTTTTGAAAACATAATACCATAATACCTTGAATAGAAGCCCAATGGGCTTAATCTCTAGAGCCCATCTTAAATTGAAGCCCCCCCCCCCTCTTTAGTTTGCAAATGTGGCCTCAAAAAGAAGCCCAGCTTCTTTTCAGTATTGGCTTTTTTTATGGTCTGTCTCTTATACACATCTAGATGTGTATAAGAGACAGTTGGAATACTGTTCTCCAGAGGTTTTAATGGGAAACAAGTAAGTTGTGTAATTGGATTTTTCCCTAAGGTATAATTTGCAATTAAAAACTATTATTAGTTAATTAATTAATTATTAATTAATGACTTTTTGTAGTGTTGAACCGACTATACTCTTTGATATAAATTTCCATTAATAAAGTTAATTTTTTTTTCTTTTTTTCTGATAGATATCGAGGACCTGAGTTGGAGATGTGGGCCCTAGGAGTCACCCTTTACACTCTGGTGTATGGTGAAAACCCATTTTATGATGTGGAGGAGACGATACAGGCTATCTTGAATCCCCCATATGAGGTGTCAAGAGGTGTGTATAGTACAGGGTTTACTTTTATATTGTGCTCAAGCATAATTACATCACACACTAAAGGCCAACTCAGACAGCGTCGGCCGACTCAGACAGCGTCGGCCGACGCAGCCCGACCCGATTTATCGTCGGGGACAGTCTTGAGCCGTCGTGAGAAATATTAAACATGTTTAATATTCTACGACGCGACTGCCCCCGACGCACACCATCGCGTCTACGTTTAACTCACACAGACCCGACACGACAACAAATCACGTCGGGCTGTGTCGTACGACGCTGTCCGAGTTGGCCTTTAGTACATTAGGAGGAAAAGATGTCATGTTACCTACATTCCCAGCAAGCTGTGTCTTCAATATTTTACAGCAAAAGTAATAATAATGGCATCTTTTTATTAAATAGATGTACACCATATAAATATATACGACTTTTCTGTAATAGCTTTGTTTAAGCTGCAATGTTTTTTGAAATATGATGTGATGACAATTAATTTTTTTTTCCTTTTCAAATTTGTTTAGAGTTGTCTAACTTAATTGAGATGTTACTGCACCCTGAACCTAAATGGCGAATTATGCTAGACCAGCTTGAGAAGAATGAGTGGGTTTGCCTGCCAATCGATATAAGTCAGTACAAATGGGAAGATGTTTTACCAGAAGACAGTAAGTATCTTCAATACCAGCAGAATAGTAGAGTTCTATGAAGATGATGAGGATTCAATGTTGCTTTGAAAACATAATACCATAATACCTTGAATAGAAGCCCAATGGGCTTAATCTCTAGAAGAAGCCCATCTTAAATTGAAACCCCCCTCTTTAGTTTGCAAAAGTAGCCTCAAAAAGAAGCCCAGCTTCTTTTCAAGATAGTATTGGCTTTTTTTGGAGAGAGTACAGTACATATACTGTACATGGAACTTCAAGGAAACAAAAAAAAAAAAAACATGCTTGGGTTATACAGTAGTTTAGGTGATTTAATGCCAGTTAATACACTTTATGACACAGATTGATGTTACAGTGGCCCTATTTATTGTTTTATAATAGTAACTCCCAAAATTTACAGCATTAATTTTGAAAAGAAGCCCCCTCTTTACATTGTAAAAGTAGCCTTGAAAAAAAAAGCCCATCCAAAGTTGGCAAAAAAGTAGCCCAAGGCTTCAATTTGAGCTTTTATGGTATGTTGTGAGTTAGGGGTTGCTTTACACATTGTGTACTGAAAAATTCCCAACATTGATTACCAGTCTGTTAGGAGTATATGAAACAAAAAAAGTGATACTTTTCTGGTAATTTTTGGGGAAAAAATTTTTTTGTTCTAAATTATCAAATGAAAAACAATTACTTAAATATATAAAAAAAAAAGTATGCAATTCATTATATAAAATTAGTTGTACAATACAACTCAGGTATATCTTTTGTTGAATATTAACTTTTGTGTTGAAATATTTATTCCTTGGTATACTTGCTAGTTATAATTATTTTATGATGATTCTGCTTCTAATTGTCATACATTTTTGTATATCCTCTTTTGTTGAATATGCTACGGAATATAAAAATATCTTTCTGCTGTATGTAGTAAAATCTTTTCCATGTGTGTATTATTATGCACTATGTAATATACCTTCAAGTCGGGCTCCAGAGGAAAACAGTTATGTTGTATAACAGATTTTTCTAAAACACAAAAAAAACATGTTTGACGAAAAACTCCGGAATGGTTAATAAGATACAAATTTTGGAATATTAAAAAACTGAATGGGGAGGGGGGGGAGTGAAGGTGTAAAAAGGGTGGTTGTGCTCATTTTTCCCCCATTTTTTTTTTTTCTCATTTTTCCCCCCTTTTTTTTTTTTTTTTTTTTTTTTTTATTCAAAAATGTGTATCTCATTAACCGTTCCTAAGTTTTACGTCAAATATTTTTTTGTGTCTTAGAAAAATTAGTTGCACAGCATATCAACAATTTTTTCCCTCTGGAGCCTGAATTTAAATAATTAAAATTATGTTTTCATTTTCTAACCTTCATATTTTTTCATCTAGCCATCTCAGTGTTCCCTTTAAACAATCGTATTTACAGCATCTTTTCCCAGTTTATATTATTTCATGGCGATGATGATGACTTCTCATTATTTCTATAAATGTTAATGATTATTTTGAATCATTATTTCTGCGAGTTTGATTCTCAATTTGTTTACTTTTCATCATCTTCTTTATTCCCTTGCTGCCGCTTTTTCCCCAGGAGATATTTGTAATCTTAGTCCTCCAACTGATGATGACATTGATGGCGATGATAGTGAACTGTTGCAGCTGCAGAAGCAATATCAACACCACCTCAGCTATTAAAATTGAGGCTCCATATCTGCCTGTGTATTTAGGTTAGGTAGCATTTGCTATACTGACAGTTTATAAATAATACATATTAATTAACAATATCGACATTTAATTTTTACTAACCACCTTTTTAATGGACTTTATGAATGCATTTTAATTATGTACTGTCTATGGTAAATTCTGATGAAATTAAATTTAAAAACTGAATTGCATATTAAAATGTTATTAATTTCTTTGAGACACATATCAAAAAAACATTTAATTTTCAATGACTGTTTCACTGACTGTTAATGGATGAGGAAATATATTTTCTCATTCTGATTTTCAGTTAAAAGCTATATAGAAATACTTTGAATTACCAAGTGTTTTTGCACAAACATAGACAGTATATCTTTAACCTATGTTGAAATTGTCTTGCTTGACAGCACTTTTATGTATTTTATTTGATATTTCTAATGTGTTAATTTGCATGTATTTTATGAACTTTATAATTCTGTATTTTTATATTGATGTTTTTTTATACTGTAATTGTGTAATTTTTGAGCAATGACTTTCTCTCAATGTAATTTCCTTTTTGGACAATAAATTTGAATTTGAATATCATAAGTTACCTTGTTCAACCATTGTTAAAACTGTTATTATTTGCATGTTTACTAATACTTTTTTACTACAATAATCATTTCCTATACTTTTCTTTATATATATTCTTTGTTTACGCAGGTTAACTAGGATATTGAAAGTTATCATGCTTGTAAAATTAAAGTTTCTTTTTACCATGTTTTTATCATGAATTAATATTTTCATTGGTGCTTTTCAAATACTGCATGGTTGCTTTACCATACTGTAAACCTATTTCTTGCATTACAACATGTTCAAAATAAATTTTATTCAACCTTTGTTTAGAATGCATTCCTGGTGTTTTGTTTCAACAACTAACCATATTTAATACAGTATATTATAAAGCGTTTTAAGTAAGATACATTAATGCATATTTCCATTGTGGGATGCATTTGGCCTGCTAATAAAGAAATATGGTGCATGTTACACAATAAGTAAAACTCTGTGTTTCTTAAAGAATGTATATTTAAATAATAAACACAAAATTTTATTTATTGTGATTATTGTTTAAGAATATGTATTTAAATAATTGGTAAATAATGTTTTGAATAGCCATGTTTCTATAATTATAACAGTCAAGGAAAAAATATTAATTATAGGCAGCATTGATAAATCGCTCGACAAACCCCAGAACACATAGTTCTATTAAAATGTTAATTATTGTTTCATTTCAGCGGTGGACAGCAATCTGCAGGTGGAGGGCCCAGATGATGACCAGTGTGAGTATGAATTGGAGGCTGAGTTGAAGAAATACCTTGACTTGGATGGCAGCCTGAATGGAAGCACATCCAGTAGCACTAAGATTTGATTCCTTCTCCTCTTTGGAAGCCCATCAAAATGAGTAGGGATTATTTTTAGAGGAAGTGATCTATATCATCAGGAATGGTTTGAATGTTACTGCGAGTAGGAAGATGCTGTGCAGGTATCATTTGAACTTGTGTGAGCGATTTCAGTTGCCAATCTGACAGAGTCAGCTGGTGATAAATTGACGATGGAAGTCCCAGACTTCCAATACAGCAGGCCGATAACTGGGATACCTATTTTGCCACTTCTATCGATATATCCGCCCAGCTAACATGTTTCCTTGTGAATTTTGACCCAAAATGAGCATATCCCCGTGTACTTATATTACATACCCTTTGTGAAATGGTACATGCTCTAAATGCAAATATATTTTTTTTTTTTGTGTGAACTTCTGGTTTGCTATCACGTGTGTGCTGTCTGTGTAAATATATATAAATATATATCTATATATATTAACAAGTTTTAATGTGTAAAGTATAGTATATGTATTTAGTCTTGAATCTACTGGTAGTCACCTCATTCTCAAGAATCTTAGAAGTAAAAGCTGTATTTTGTAGAAATTATTGCGACTATACCAACAATTTGTTTCTCCGAATTTGTAATTACAGTACTGTATATTTAATGAAATTCAACTGAATTGTGTCCACTACTAGTGTTTAACACTGAAACCTCATTTATGATAGACTTATGGTGATTGCCTGCAACAGTATAGTGTCCTTCAAACATCTATAGCATGGCTCCCAATGAAATTTAATGTTTGATATAGCTATAATACAACTGTAGTATTTTATAAGTTTAAATAGCCATCATTTTTTTTTATTTGAGTACTTTAGTGATTGCAATGTATGATTTTGATTTTAAAATACAGCTGGGTTCATATTTTTTTAAGCTTTTAACGAACATTGGTATTTTGTACTTAAGTATCATCATTACTTTTAGAATATTTTAATAATGTTTGATATTTATGTAGCGCCTTGAACAATCCAAAGACTATATGTTGCAGTGCTTGTATATTGATATCTATTGACAGGCATGCAATCTCCTCCATTCCACTGTACGTCATACCATCGCATTCAATGTCAACAAGAACGATTTGAGTAAAGGCACTTTGTCTGCATGGCTTCTCCAACCAGGAGTACGTACAAGTGGGGTTCCTGGTAGGCTTAAATGCCAAAATGTGCTAATTAGCTGCTGCAACATTATGGAATACTCTGCTGAGTTTGTGTTCCGTAGGTGTTTAATCGAGTGACCAGGGTGATGATAATGTGAAGCGTATAGAAGGCTTATCGTAATGCGGTATATAAGTCTACCATTATTATTATTACTTGGCATGTACAAATTTACACTCGTGGGTGGAAATGCACAAAAGTTAATAATCTACACATACAAAACTATGTGGTATTTGTACCCCAAACCTTGTGTGGTAACAAGTTGTTCTGTAATTTGATAAATGTAATGTGACTGTAATGTAATGTAATGTGACTTGTCTATAGTAAAACATTATAAACATTCTCAATTATATGCGATGATATTGTCTTTATGCAAGCTAGTTATAAGCAATATATTCCCTTTGAGTGCCACAACCCCAAAGAATATTATGATCATTTTGCATTGTTTTCAGTAGCATTTGCAGTTCATCCTCCAAATTGAGACCCCTTAAATCCAATATAAATTTTTTAAAGTACTAACAATCTTAATTTATTTATTTACACAAAGCTAACCCTTTAACTGCAGAAGGAATGCTGCAACCACACCAAAGTTTCAGGCCCCAAAGGTGGTCTTGATTTAGAGGGTGAAATGTATTTTAGAAAATAAGTTATATGGTACACCACCAGTATTATTATTTCAGTACAGTAATTATAATGTTTTAACAGTTAATATTTAATTAATATTGCTTAGTTTTCATTCACTTACAATATTTGTTATAATGTAGGTCTATATTTTTACTGAAATGCCAAGCTTGTTTACAAATGATTGTTTACATTGGCATATTTATATAATAGTTTAATACTGATGTGGTCAGTAATCAGTGTGTGACATATTGAAATACACAAAAAAAATATCTGACTTTGAAAAATACTTGTCTTTATTTCATTGAAAGTAACTTTGGTGTGGAGATACACCTCCACTGGTGGTAATTAAAGATGATAATAAATATAATATATAAAATAGAGTATCTAAACAGTAATTATAAGATCTTGGGTTCGAATCCTAATGGGGACATATGTTTTTCTCAAATATTTATTATCATCTTTACTTCATTGTTAATTGAGAAGGGTGATTCATTGCTATCTATTAAAACACTTTGAAGAGATCTTGATCAGGATCTGGTTGGATGATGACCACCTCGTTCCGACAGCTAGCATCATCATCCTCTTGCCAACAGCTCTTACTGCACGTGTACACTAATATGACGCCAAATTCAACAGTCTTATCTGAAACATACGGTAATGTGATTGAGGATACTGCAGCAACTTGTTTCATCCAACGTCAATGATTCGCTACTTAAGGTTATGATATTTTGTTATGACATAATTATTTGAGCTTGAATATTGTATTTTCTTATCCAATTCTGTGCACCTGTGGCATATTTAATGGACATAGGGTGCACACCCCCAGAACAAAAAGCTTTCACTTACTATTTTCTTATTTTTAAATATTATATAAAACTTCAACATACCTGGATTTGATTGGTCTTGTAATAACCTGACAAGAGATGGCATTAACTGAAGTTCAAAGGTCATTTTACTTCCACAGTATTTACAAGGCTCTTGAGCTTTGTCTAGGGATGTTTGCTGTGGATTCCTGATATACAGAGGGGTGCCACCCCAACAGTACCTGCATGTAAATGTAAAAAAAAAAAAATACTATTAATTGTTATGTACTATGCCCAGACTTGCAACCTACCCTCCACAGATATATCTACAAAAATTATCTCTTCGAAAACAAAGAATAGTCAACAATACATTAAGAAGAATTATAGCATGTCCATTTTAACACAAATATCATTCATAATGCTATCATCATCAATATTATTATTTTATTATATTACTGTACTATAATTGTTATACTGGGTGGAGCAAGAAAAAAATTGACTAAACACATGAACTTAAACTTAATTGCAGACTGCATACCTTAAACACTGTTGAGGGCAGAGTGATACCGTCTTCATAAATTTTTCAAACACAACATCACCATGTGATGCAACGACTTTCTCATATTTTTCAACCTTGGAACTCTTTTGTCTATAAGATTGTAAGTTTAAATATAAAACAAATTAGTATATTTTGCTTTGCTTTAAAGATCATCTCTACTCTAAACAGTACAATCCACTGGTGATTTCAAGGTATCATATAACTAAATAATGATTCCCAACAGACTAAATTATAGAATTTGTTTATATACCGTAAAACCGCCTCAAATTGAAGCCTACTGAGCTTAATCTCGAGATGAAGCCCATCTTGAAATGAAGCCCCCCTTTTTAGTTTGCAAAATTAGCCTCGAAAAATAAGCCCATCTCAAAAAGACCATGGGCTTCTTTTCAAGATAGCATAGGCTTCTTTACGAAATATTACCGTCGCATACACTGTACATCAATTTCAGAAAATAAAATAGATTAAATACAAGCTTGGTTTATACAGTAGTTTAGGTGATTTAATGCCAATTAAATACACTCCATGATACAGTTTGATGTTACTGTGGCCTTATTTATTGTTTTATAGTACAAATTCACAAAATTTACAGCATTCATTTTTGAAAAGAAGCCCCCCCCCCCCCT